TGAAGGCACATAACAACAAGGACACACCCACATGTTAGTCAGTAGTGAGAACTCCATACTTGGGAAGGGAAATTTTAAGCCTTCCTTTTCCCATATGCCATTTTCCTGATTTAAATACACCCTTCCCTTAAAAAGAAGATATTTGTCTCAAGAGGGAAAATTCACAGTGCCCAAGGCTTTCCCTTACAGGACACATATCCATTTGGGGGAGTTACAAATTATTTGTATGCAAATAGAGAATCACAGCCAATAGTAGCTCCTCTGGCACCTGCCAGTTGTACCTTCTCTGGTACCTTGAGTCTGGAAAGAATAGTCAGACCAAGGAAGAATACATAAGATAGTTTTGATGTTTGCTTTTAGGGTTATCCAAGGTTTTTCACTTCTAGCCTCACCCCATCTGCTAACTTGTTGAGTGTCTGAGATATTGTCAGTTGAGTTCCATAGGTGCTGCTCATGGATAGGATCCATTAAAACATGGAGAGGTTTCCCTTGCCCATTATTTTAGATTATTGCTGTTGTTGTATGCCTTCAATTCATTTATGACTTACGGTGACCCTATGGTGAACTTGTCATGGGGTTTTCTTGGCAAGATTTATTCAGATAAGGTTTATAAAGGGAGCATCAGGTCTTGCAAAGGTTTGCTGCTGGTGTTGTTGTTGTTGTTGTTAACCGTCCTCCAGTCAATTGACTCATGGTGACCCTGTCTGATACTAACTGGGCTTGAGGCATCTTGGATACATTCATATGGGCAAGTTTCATGTTTACTTTTCCATGGGATGGTTTCAGAGAGCATTGCACAATGATGGGAGAGGAGTGGATATATACTTAAAAAGTAATATAGTATGTAGAGTTATCCAGAGCAAAGAACCTGTATGACAGAATGGATAAAGCATGTTGGGGCATGTGTGATCTGGGATTAACATGCCGAAGACTTACGCCAGGAAAAAGACACCACAGAAGAGTCTCTACTGTGAAGTTCGGTGCAGACTGCAGAGAAAAAAATCCTCCCACACCGAAGCTGTCAGCAACACAAAAAGTGCTGGACTGCTGAGTTCTCACAAAGAAGCATTTATTCTTGAGTACAGCTATATACACCAGACTGACAAAGTGCTATGCCAGGCTCCTATTTACAATGCAACCAACTGAGCATTCAGCTCACTCATTTATATACAATATCTCCCCCTGGGATTTGAGTCCAGCCCACTACTGGTATGTCACTCAGTTTCCTGTCACCTTCTAGCCATGACTCTGCAGAAGTGAAGTTTGCTGACTTCACCTCCTGTCCTTCTGTCATCAGCTTCCTGTGACTCAGGAATCTTCAAATGATGAATCATCATGTCTCCCAATTGAACTCAGGTTACCTTTTTACCTTTGCTCCAGTTTCATGCCATAGCCACATCTATGACATTTTCCACCCAGAGTGCAGTTTCCTCTGACAAAGTGTATCGAACAACACAGGGAAACCTGGTTTCTCTCTTCTCCCCTGTCCAAGGGCCATCTAAACCAAAGCAGCCTTCTTCAAGATGGAGATATCTAGTTGTGTCAAACTACATTGTTCCTTATTGCTTTTCATCCCAGCATTTGACATGTTGCCTGGGAAAGATGGACCTTGTAGACCAACATACAAGGATGGAGGCAGCACAGGAATCCAGAGGGAGGAGGCGGGAGAAAGAAAAAGAGAGATGAGAAGGACAAGCAAGGAGCACATCCACATCAGGCTGGTGCTTCTGCTGAACTTTCCCCTTCCTCCACCAAAACACTCCATCATCTACTACCATCTGTCTGTTGGGAAGAATTCCAGGGGAGAAAGAGAGGGGGGGAGGAATCTGTCAAAGAAATCTGTAGTTGTCTGCTCCTGCAACCAGCTGGCTTCATTTTGTTATTTATGTGAAGGTTTTAATGAAGGATGAGTTTATTATAGTCATTCTGTTTTATTAATATTGTGAGCCGCTTGGAAGACTTCAGTTGAAAAGCGGGATACAAATTCACCAAATAAATAAATCAATAGGTTCAAGCAGTAGACCTCCTTGGTGATCTTGCAAAATTCACTCTCTTTCACCTCTACATCTCTTACAGGTTGTTGTGAAGGTGTGATAAATATATTTATGCTGAGAGTTTAGTGGTTTTGTGGTTTGAATGTTGGACTACAACTCTAGAAACCAGGGTTTGAATCCCTGCTCGGCCATGGAAACACCCTGGTAGACCTTGAGCAAGTCATACACTCTCATCTTCTCTCAGCTTCAGAGAGAGCTCAGGCAAACTCCCATTTGAACACATCTTGCCAAGAAAACTCGATGATAGGGTCACTTTAGGCTTACCGTAAGTCAGAAAGGCAAACAACAGCAGGTACTAATGTATGTTACTTTGTGGTCCTAGGGGGAAGGCTGGGTATGTATGTAAAGGATAAATGAATGCAGGTTTTGTTATGAAGCTGCTTGAGATATGTGCTTGCTTGATGTTGCTTCCTGGCTATTGTCTTCCTTCAATATCACACTTGAGGAGTTAAAATTGTTTTGAAGCCAAGATAATGTTCTTCCTGTACAAAACACATGGTTTTCTCTGTTTATAAATAGGATTTGAATTTCTATAATGATGCAGCAGCCCACACTGTGAACATTTCCCACAACATCTTCCATGTAATAAAGTGCCCTGTGCAGTATGCAGCATTGCACAATCTGTAAAGGATGTCATTTGAAAAGAAGAGAAGGGGGGCGGGAGAGGGAGTCTTTATTGGAATATTTTGCCTGTAGCAGAACAGCCATTAGCATTGGATTGCACTGTGAATTAAAAGCAGTCAATGAGGAGATGCGTTCATCATTACCAAGCCTTGCCTTTTGGAAAAAAAAAAAAAAGAATTCCTCAAGAAATAGTGAAAGAGATAGTGCTGCACTGCCTATTGAACTCTTGCTGCAGCTTAACCGCAGCAAGAAGCTGTAATCCTATTGTGCTTTTTCCTGCTGTCTCCTGGGAAGCAGGCGGCATGGAAATGACTGAGCGGTTGTCCTGCCCCTTCCTTACCTGCCTTTGTAGCTGTAAATATAGTGTCTGCCTACAAATAACAGTTTGCCGCACCTTGAAGCAGGTTTCTTAACAAGAGGAGGTGATTTACTGAGGTGATAAACTGTAACTAATACTAGGGTGTCATAATAGGTAAATAGATTAGCACCATGCGCCTCTGTATTTCACTTTCCAGGGAGTCTTGTTCATTCATTTAGTGACTCCTAGATGCTTACCACAGCATTTTGCAACATGATGGGCTGTGTTTGATGTTTGCAGAATTGATAGTTGCATGTGTCTGGCTGGCTTGGTGCACATTAGCAGATTTAACAGTTAACATTGATCACAAAACCTTTCATTCCAGGTACTACCCCCATCCTCAAAAGGTACTTATGGTTTCAATCTATTATTAATTTTCCTGATTAGAAGGTACTAAATCAGGGGTCGGCAACCTACAGCCCGCAGGCCGGGGCCGGCCCTCCGGGGCCAGCCCTTCGGGGCCTGCCGACCAGCCCTCTGAGACCTGCCGACCGGCCCCTGCCTGGTCCTGCTGCCTCCACTGCATGAGCGCGGGTGCCATTTTGGAAGGCCCAACGGCAGCAGCGCCATGTGAATTCGCATGGTGCTGGCACCATTGGGCCTTCCAATATGGTGCTGTGCGTTGCGCACGCATCCGCACACGATGTGGGGTGCCATTTTGGAAGGCCCAGTGGCGCCGGCACTGTTGGGCCTTCCAAAATGGCACCCATTCGCATAGCACCAGCGCCATTGGGCCTTCCAGAATGACACCCCGCTTCATATGCATGAGCGTCATTTCGGAATGGCCAACAGTGCCGGCGCCGTGCGCATGCACATGGCACCGTTGGGCATTCCAAAATGGCACCCCCAACGCACGCACACACACACGCATGCATGCACGTGATGGTGGGTGTTGTGCGCACGCACACGCGTGGGGGCAAGCATGCGCACTCCGGCCTCCAGTGCCATTTCCCCCCCAGCAAAAAAAGTTGCCGACCCCTGTACTAAATGCTTCATTGGTTTATATCCTACAGATGTGGAGTAGCGCAAAAACTGCTCTAAGTGTTTGATATTAATTTGGAAAGGCAGGGATACTTACCAGGGAAGCTACACCCTTGTCTGAAGATTAGTAAAGACCAGGATTGTAAGGTTTGATCAGCCCATTTATCTAGTGTAGCTTTAGTTGATTAATCACTGGGGGCTGATTTAAATAGTGAGGGCAAGTGTTCATTGGCAGGGCTGCAATTTATGGACACACTTTATTTTTTCATGATCTTTTGCTTCATGTATTGCTACAATTGGAAATGAAAAATAAAACATTAAATAAGACCTTTTCTTCTAACTATGAAATATGACTTTTGCTTTATTACATTGTACATTACAGTATTTTCCACATCTTTTAATGTTACAAAAGGTGCCTCCAGTGTTTTCCAGAATAACATGCAAATTGATTTAAATGTAATTGGAAAAGCTCTATTAAATGCTTAAAAGACATATTATTAGTAGACTGAACTTTTTTTAACAACACAGTGACCCTAAGAAAAACAAAGTGTTGGATTATAATACACCAATCATGGAAAGAAGGTGTATAACTTCCTCGAACAGCTTTTGGAAATTATTTGTCCTAAATTTGTCTATTTGTCTGAGGAAGATACAAATATTTCCTTCACAAGAGCTAAATATAAAACATACATCATGATTTCATATATCTTTAGACATGAAAGTCTTGAAAATACCCCCATAGATGAGAGGATGCAAGGACTCCACAGCAGTCTGAATTCTATACTGGGGGATCCTTTAGGCAGCTGTTCATTTTTGGGAGCCTAAATATCCTGTCTGATCCTGCACTAGATCCTGTCTGATCTTGGAAGCTAACCAAAGTCAGCTCTGGTTAGTGAATTGGAGACTGCTAGCAAGTACCAGGTGCAGTGGGCTATATTTCAGAGAAAGGCACTGGCAAAATCACCTCTTGAGTATTGTTTGGGTAAGGAAGCCCTGTGAAATTCATGGGGTTGCCATAAATTGACAGGCGACTTGAAGGCACATACATTTTTTTTCTTTTTTGCATGCTCATAGTTGTAACACTTTTCCTTAGCAAAGAACATATTTCACATAGATTCATAATCTAATCTCACCATCCTATAAAATAGTTTTGGTATCCAGATATTGCAGAGAGGTTGAGACTGAAAGGAAGTTTGCCTGACTTGATGAGTTCATGGTGTACTTCTTGTGGTACTTTTACTACTACATTTTTCAAGTGGAGGAACTGCAGTTTGGAATTATGCTCCTTCCACTAAAAAGCCCCTTTATGTAGTAAAATAGTGAGAATGGGTTTGACTAAATATTTGAGCAGCTAGATTCCATAGATACGCAAATATATATGATTCCACCAAGTGCCTTACATTGAGAGAATTGTGGAGCCTCTGAAATAGAAGATACTGTACATGTCTTATTTAACTATCACCTATATACCTCAGTAAAGGCTCAGTCCCTACAGACAGTACTTGACAGAACTATATACTGGGAGCATAGGAAATTGTTATCTCATTTCCTTCAGGATACAAATAAATATGTAGCCATTAGAACGGCCAAGTTCATAGTTAGGGCTGTCCAACTGAGAACATGTTTGATTGAGCACATTGGGGTTGCAAGCAAAGATGATGAACTTAGGGGAGTTGCAGACTGCCAGAAATAGTGCAAATTGAGTCCACTTTTAGGGTTAGGGAATCATGGGAACTGTTATTTTATTGTGGCACCAGAACTCTGTGACAGAGAAGGCTCAATGTCTCAGGAAAAAAAAACACAATTCCCATGATTCCCTAGCACTAAGCCTAAAAGTGGACTCAATTTGCACTATTTCTGGCAGTCTGCAAACCCCCTTACTTAAGCATATATTGCTTTGAATTTTATCAGCTTTCACCTTATTATAAGATGACAATTATTATTATACATTTGGGTTTGCTTTTATAATTTTTTCATTTTACCTCTATTTTTATTTTATTTATTTTACTGTATTGCATTATATTTTATTTTACTTTAGCCTAATTTATTTTATTTCATTGTACAGTTGGCCCTCCACATTTACAGCTTTGACTTTGTGGATTTGATTATTTGCAGTTTTAATTAATATGTTATCTCTAGGAATTTCTAGATCTTCCAGCACAATTCTGCTGGAAGTTGGCCATAGAGTTTCTCTGGAGGACCTACAAGTTCCTATAGAAAATACTTCTAGGCATTTGTAGATCCTCCAGCATGATTCTGTGATCAACTTCTGGCAGATGTTGACCATGGAGTTCCATTGAAGGATCTGGAGATTCCTAGAGAGATGTACTCTTAGGTAAAAAGAATAGTGTTCTTTTTATTTGCAGTTTTTCCACATTCACGGGGGGTCCTGGGCCCCTAGCCTAGTGAATGTGGTGGGACTACTGTATTTTGCTTACTCTCCTCTTTTGTATTGTACGATGTCTGATGCTATTAGCTTCAATATGATCAACTGATTAATCAACAAATTTTAACTAACTAACAAAATAGTCCACTAGTTTTCAACATGCAAAAACCTACCACTCATAATGCAGTATGGTTCAATAAAAGATGCACCATTTGATCCTATGGTATGCATTGCCTGACTCTAATATGGGATTGTGAACCTCTGGATAGAGGATTGTACTTAGCAAATGAACTCTCACTTCTTTACTCACATTTTCATCATTTTAACAACTAGATCTTGATTTACAATATTTAATGTCATATAGTATAGATGAGCCATAGGCCAATTCACACACACACACACACATCCCAATTGTGTGCCTTGTATACCTTGTTTAACTATCTGGGGCCGGAAACATGGTGAATAGGATGCAAGTTGCCCTCCTCCATGTCAATGTATTGATGGTTTCATAGATAAACACTGTTAGCTTCATGTAGTGAAACTTAAAACTGATCAGAAAAAAATGAGCATGGAGTAGGAGCTAGTTAGCACCCTAAATTTCAACATTACTTGATTTTTTTTTCTGTCAAATGAAGAAAAGTTGGTCATATCTTCTGCCAATCAGGCTTTTAAGTTATTCCTAAAGCTGCTAATCCTTTAATTTAGCTGTTGTGATGTACAAGGAAACATCTGTGGCTCAAACCCTCCAGGGGAGGGTTGGGGGGAGCTAAGGTGTCTTCTAG